AACCTGAACCTTAGAAGTTTCTCTTTATGGCCTCATAAGAATGCTCAAAGTCAGCCAAAGACCAAAAGTTAAACTATAATTAGATCGTTCTTTCAAACTCACAATCGAGTTTGTAAAAAGTTTAAAACATAATGAACACGTCACACGTTTGTAGACAGAAATATGGTAAACGTAGTCTTAATGCCTCCAGTGACCATATATAAAAAAAACTAAGAGTGGATATACTCGTACAATCCACGATGTAAAACGACTACTTGGACAAAACTGACGGAATTTACCCTCAACAGTTGAAGCGAAACCAATAGACCTGGAAATCTTTATTTGATTGTCCAGGCCTATTTCCAACAGTGGATTATGATAGGTAATTAATGATTATTTAATACAACTAAACTGAACCTATCTCATTGTTTCTACTAATCCTGACATAAAAACCCAACTAGCAATAAATGTCTTAGGTCCAAAGTATAACACTCTTTAAAAGGTCAAAAATTATATGACCACTTTACCATAAGCTATGTACAAGACGAAAAAAGCAAAACTAAAATAGTGCTGGGCGTGTGTATGAATATTAATGTCTTGTCCAGTTTTTTTTAATATTCCCAACAGAATACGAACTTCCATACAAGCTCTGCAAAATTTATCTTTTAAAAGTTACACGAAAATAAAAAAAGTCATTGATTGTGTCAAACACAGATTTTTTGCAACATTAAAAAAAGACAGGATATATTTTAATGACAAGTAACTTTTTCCTTTTTTATTTCTTAAATCTCCATAAAGGTCAATATGAACAAAAATTATAAAATTCACAAATAACACAATATTTATAGTGAAAAAATTGTAATTCAATATCAAGATAATCAGTTTTATTTGGTAAAAAATGTTCAGTTGTGTATTAAATTAACATAAATAAGTAATAAAAGTATGAATTGGTTCAGAACACTTAAGAAGATATTCTGTTCAAACTACATGACAAAGCATCACCACCAATTCAAACTACAAACGGAATTTCAAAGTTCTGAACTCGTCAAATTACGACTGTAACCCCGAGAATGAAAACTAAAGTTGAAGCAAACTTTTCAATCAAGCCCCTATGGTCGTGTGCGGAGAATTAAAGGGAGGCCTCTCGATGCCCCTTAAAATGGGTTAGGCTTTGAGGAAGTAGATTCTTTTTTCATTACTTAAATAAAATAAAATAAATCATTAAAGTTTTTTTTCTCTATATTTGTTTTGTGTGCAATATATTAAATAAATAAATAAAATATAAATGCAATGTTGAATTTTATTATCTTATTTCTACACAAAATATTTTATACGTTAAAACACACACTATTTGTAGTATGCATATCATATATTTGTATATATTACATACATACGTTATAAATTAAAGATATTAATACTCATCGTATATGAATGTTAATATTTTAACACGCGATAACTAAAATTTAATAAGTATGATGATATTTTCAATGAACAAAAGCCTCCTCCACAATTTGTTCAATCGTAAGATAAGTCACTAAACTTATCTCTACCCGAGAAGTAAGTCGAAAAACTTACCAGTCTTACACGATGTCGGGTCCGGGGATAAGTTAATTTATTATCTTCACTATCTCAACCGTCTTTAGATTTGAGTTTATAATGTTATTTCAAATAACTTGCTAGTTAATAGTTTAAAGTACGTCTATGAAATGTTTTCCGACACTCTTCCTTTCATGTTCTATATGAATAATTTGACAAGGTTTTTCATCTTGCGACGACAGTATCGCGGTACTTTACGACAACGAATACAATACTCGACTTATAAAAAAATATTCACAAAATAACTCACTAGCGGTACCAATTATAAATTTTAAAATATATTAATTACCAGCCTATTAAGAAGGTAAATTATTATTTTGATGGTTTCAATCCCACAAATAGTTCATAATGTAAATGTTTTTAATATAATTTTCGGTTAGCATATAAAATGCTCTATATTTTAAAACAAAACTAATTCAAGGACGAAAACAAATACGTATCTTAAAAAAAGTACATCCGTGTAAATTCCATCTATTCGTGTCACAATTCCGAAAATATCTTCAAAAGTTAAATGCACTGTAAGTGGGTATTGTCGCGTATTTACGTATTTCAGTACGAAATACGAGTGAAATTATTGACCTCCTTTTTATAAATTCAATAGAAACATTATATAGCGACACATCTTGTTAAGTGAAACAAATTAGGTTTACCAAATTTTCTATAAATACGCAAACATAAAATAATTCAAAACGAAATTATCAAAATAAGTAAAAAGAGGAAATAGAAACGATAATAATTAAATTTCTGAATAATTGACATATAGTATTAAGCATGCCACTAATAGCCGTATTTCTTTTTAAAAACTTTTGATTGTATATATTTTTTCTTTGTTCCAACATAGCTTCTAAATTGATTAAGTTTTTACACCAAATATTTTTCTCTTAATTCAATTTCCTCTTTAAAGTTACTCTTTCACAATTATAGCAATATAACGAACCAACAAATGTCCGGTTACAGCAAATCGTAAAATTTGAAAATGCTTCTAATATATGCATTTATTTGATACAAATTGTTTTCATAAAAAATTAATAAAACTATTTTTGACTAAAGCTACTTGTTAACTTATGTTCCGAACTATAATTATATCGTACATAGCAACTTAGATCATAAATACAAAAAAATAGAACTTAATAACTGACCAAAAAAAACTATCTCAACGATTACATAGTTAATTAATTAAAAACATTTTAAGTTTACTTGTCTAAAAAATAACATTGAACTGTATGCCTCACTGATACTTTTAAATGATTAGATTAAAAGAAAGAAAACAATAATGCGAGCAAAGTCGCGGTTCCTCTCTAGTTTACAACAGTCATAAATGTATACGGTTCCAATACATAACAATCAAATGAGTAATCTGAACGACATACTGAGCGTTTAAAGACGATGACCGCGGCGGGGAAGGCGTTTATTTATATATTTTTTTGGCTCCCAGCCAGATGACCGCTGCGCATGCGCATCCGTTTATTTAGAAAGTGTTAAATGTCTGCGAAAATATTTCGCACAAAGCAAATTGACTTAGTAATGTTTGTTGTGGTAATGTAAGCTTTGTTTTCTTAATAAATGTTCTGAATAATAACTACACTATATTGAGTTTTGGTTAATGTAAAATTTTAACGATAAAATCAATAGAATTCAATACTTCGATTTGCTTTATATATTAAATTGATATTTTTAAAATACGTTGAAAACATTTACAGAATTTTGTAATCATTCGATCACAGGTAAAGTCACGCTTATTTCGCAAATAAAGTATTAAACTACTATCTTTACAGGACATAGAAATGCAGATTACTTTCAAAACGTTTAAAAAACGGTTTAACACAGCTTATATTTGCTAGCATACTTAGTAAACATGACACATTTATAGTATTATGTGTATAATAAACGCTCATACCATTTCTAAGCAAAATAATCACAATAATAAACTCTAATAACATAACCGCTTACGCAATGACGATGCAAATGACAAATTCAATGGCATACGGACAATTCTAAATATTATAGATAAAGTAAAACGGTCAATGCTGCATTCCTTACAATGGGTGAGATGATTTTGCACAATTTTATTAATCTAAATAACCGTGGATCATTGATCATTGGGTCAATAATACGAATTAAACTTGTCAAGACGTTAGTGTGTACGAAAATATTCTATCGATAAAAATAAATGGAATAAAAGCTATGAAATTGTTGTCGACATTTTAAAATATAAAAGTGAGTAGGTGAATTTGCAAATTTAAATAGATCCTTGATTAAAAGAACAAAATTTTAATAATAAGGGTAATCCGAACTCTCTAGAATTTTACATACCAAATATAATTCCAAAGTCATAGGTAATGATTGTATCGTTGTGAATATCGATACTTGAATCACATCACTCGTATGAATCCTACGTCCGTCGGTGCGTGCCAAATGATGTGATCGATCATACCTTTGGTTCACGACCAGGTGTGGACCGAATGTATTATTATTCATTATATATATGAATAAATATTTTAAGTATTTAAAAAGATGAAGACGATAAGTTAAATGTTCATATTATCTATATATGTTGAGCAATCTATCAACACGTAATAAAACGTTCAACTTCCTGACCTCAAACATCAAATATTTGCACCCCATTGTTTGTCCAACCTCACATTCCCGTTAACACGCTAAACCCATGTTGCCTAATAAAAATCACTGACAAGTCCGGTCCGGATATCAGAAATTTTCCCACCCTTCCAAATTTTTCCAGGCCAATTTATTCCCTGCATTCGCAGCGCGATATTAAACCTTAATGGGTTGGAATAAAGTTGTAGATTATCGAAATCAGATGGGCAACGCTTTCCCTTTCAATAGATTTGGTCCATATGTCAGAACAAGTGAACCGGCTTCTTAACTGGACACCCTAAATTGACTATACGAGGGGAAATGGTGGCTAAAGGAAATTCCTGCGGGTATCAAACTCAAGGGTCTTATAGGATAACTGATACGGATTGCTCGATATACTCACACTTAACCCGACATATTTTCTAATAAAAATCAGTATTTCATGGTTGGTGAATTCGTAAAATGTGTTATGCTAATATTATGAAGTATTGTTATTCAATAATATGTATCGATGCAACCTCAAATAACTGAACAAATTAGAAAATACTCAGAAGAATGGAGTCACTATAAAATTTTTAGCGTTAGCGTTCACTAAACATTCATTTAATCATTAATGTATTACTCTTTTACTCTTTATAGTATAAAAGTTGTGAAATTTTCTCCACTTCAATACTGAATAATTCATCTTTCACACACCGGAAGTGGGATCAATTGGGCGGAAGACTTGACCGTGTCGAGTGACCCTTCCCTTGTCCCTTCAATTATTCAAAGCTAAGGGCACCTTTTGATATACGAAACGGCGTCGCTGTATTACTTATACACGCTCAGATTTAACTTTGAAGCCACAATTTCAATTACATATATAAAAGAATATAATCTTTTTGCAATATAATTTTATTAAAAAATTCAATATAAAATCTTTTCAAAACGATCACAAACACATTTATATAAACTATCACTTACAAGCGGTTCACACGAAAGCTACTTTAACCACAGTTTGAAGCACCAATAATATGGTTACAAAAAACAACACGGACGATGGAAAAGACTTCGAAGTTTTGTTCTCTTGAACAAGAGTACGGGGCGCTACCACCGTCGGCATCGCAAACGCCTGGTTATTGCAACGATTCAACTGAAAAATAATAATAATTACGTACATATTATTTAGATAAACCTTCTAAAATTTTCTGTCTCAATATTCTATTCGAGATTTCTAATCATTGAAAAGGATAAAAATGAGAAAACGTCTCAGCATTCCATGGATTCACAATGCGGGTGCCGGGTCCATCGTTGCAGGGAGAGGAGCTTCAACAGTGCTTGGGACTTGCGACCCAAATATAGGTAATATTGCTTATAATTATGTAATATTATAAAATAGATATCCTTTCACCTCACAGCACGTAGTATCTGGTGACCCGATACAGCCCGAGCGACAACCACGAACCACAGCCTCATACGAACTGCCTTTGGATATCACTGATGTAAAACATTTATCATCCACACTGTGACAGTTTATAGTGTGTACCCTGAAATAGAGGAAAACATGCGCATTGATTGTCAAACAATTTATTTATTATATAACATATGTAATAAATTCTTATAAAAAATCTCTCGGTTATACAAATGTCCATTAATGCAATATCTTGTTCTTATTATCATAGTCCAAAGAAATCTAAAGTCCGTTAATTTTGTCATCTGACAAACATCCGTAATTCCATCCAGTGTTCTTAGTACTTTCTTACAAACCTGTACTTGGTTGGATCCAGACAAGCTTTCAGCGGTGCATCGGATTTGAATGCACACACATAACATTCTAGAGGACGTCTTTTAGAAGTCCTTGTTACAGAGATGATCTTAGTAGTCTGTGGTAGTATCGCGGGCGCTCGTCTCCCTGTATTATGTTCGTGTTTCTCTCCTGAAGGTTCTTCTTCATCGTCATCTTCATCCTCCTCTTCTTCTTCCTCTTCATTTCTCCTAGAAATTTGATTAATAATCTCAAGGTCTTAAAATCAGAGCAAAAAAATATCTTTATAGTATTTTTTGACAGTTGCGTGATTACAATCCTATACAACTTACTCCTCCTCATCTTCGTCCTCTAATTTTGAACCAGTTCTTGTCGGTAACAGTAACAGTACGGCAAGCACAAGACAGTACCGCCACCGAACCATTTCTTCCGAAACTACAATAATTTTTTTGTCTCTTATTCACGGTAAATTTGTCATTTTAATACCAACATTGTTCTCAATACACTCAGTACTTCAATGAGATTTTTTTGACGTTACTTTTCATTACATTTATGTTTAGAATATTTTGTTTCTTTTCTTCTGGCGTTGATTATAAGATCTTTTCGGAGACCCGTTAGTATTTAGATTATATTTTTTTGTTTAAAATGATTTTCCTTAAAAAGATCAAACATAAGGAGTATTTCTTCAGACTATGTATATTTTTATTATTATTAACATATCGCTAACTTTATAATAAAACAAGATGTTTTTGATGTTCATAAATTTAGTCGACCCAAGTGACATCTTGTGACGAATTATAAAGATGGCTACTCGCTGACAGATGGCACTTTACACAATTTCAGCTCTGAAAGATTTAAATATATTTTATGTTTTCCAATTGAAATTTTATTACTGATATTTAATGCTAGCTGATTATTTTGTTAATTTAAAATAATTACCTTAAGTAGCGAAAACTCTACTGTCAACTGTTAAAAGTAAAACATCTATTTTATCCGACTTGAAAGTACGTATAGAAAATTGAAGCAAAATCCCTTCGTAACTTACTATTATAGTCCAAAAGTATGACGGTAATTGTTATTTTCACATAATAATAAAAACCTTTTTGTAAGATCAGTCAAAAAATAAGCCTACACGTAATAATAAAAGAAATATATATTCACTCTTTGTTCTATAGTAAATTTGCTATATTCAGAAATAATATACGCCATATATTTTTAATTGATTTAAATAATGATTCCATACTATTAATACATTTAAAAAGCATAACGAATGCGACACTCCACGAAAATGTGTATTACATATTCTTAAAAATAATATTTCCTAAGTAATAGATAATTTTAAAAATAGACATCATGTATGTACCTTCTATATACTTTCATATGAAGAGTTTCCTCAGTTTTCATAATTATTATCCACAGCTCTCTAATAGCTGGAAAGAATTTAAGTAAAATTCTTCTAATTATTAACATGTTTAACTATTTGTGAAGAAATAAACTTATGAAATAAAATGCCGTTAAAAATGTTATACACCTCGAGAGTCTGTTTGAACTGCTTATGTTATTAAAAAACAGTTAAAAGGAAAGTAATTTATCACAAATTAATTTCCGATACTATGTAATCTAATTATTTGAATATTTAACAATGTAATATATTTTTATTTTATTATTTTATAAAAGATCTTGTTTTCCAATTGGACTTTCAATGCAATAAATTTATTACACATTTTTTAAACATTATTTTATAAAATACTTATTACATTACTTTAAAGATTCAAGAATTACTTTTATTACTCTTGTAGAAATGAATTTAATTGTGAAACAAAAGGTTCCTTAGTAAGTAAATTTTACTAAAAAATTTTCTTAATTTTGTAATGAATTTTTTTATACCTTCGGAAGAAATAGTTATTCTTTCGACGTACAAAATCAACTATAAAAAAACTTTATTATTATTCCTATATTTTTTTCTCTCAAAACATATTTCCAATATAATATTAACTTATACATGTCTCATACTTCCTTTTAGAATTTAAAATAATGCTTATAAGTATAGTTGCAAAAGATTAATATTAATTTCAAACAGAGTTTTCTAATTAGATGTTACCAAATGTCTAATTTAGATTTCTATAAGAATGATCTAAATAATATTAGAAATATTTTATTCAAAACATTTGACGTAAACTTTTATCCGCTTATAATCATAGTTGATTAATTTTAAATCACCTTCTTAAAATAGAAGATACTTATAGAGAAAGAATTTTAAATTAATAAAACGTTTACTACAATATCTGTTTTGGTATTAAATAGTTTTTTATGTATGTCATAATAAGTTGTTCTTAAGTTACAATGAGGGATGTAATTACTAATCTTCTATCTTCTATATATATAAAAATGGATTGCTGTTCCTTAGTCTCGCTAAAACTCGAGAACGGCTGAACGGATTTATCTTATCTTAGTCTTGAAATGTTTTTGGAGGTTCAGGGAAGGTATAAAAGCTGAAAAAAATTGATTCATTATTGGGAAAACCATAAAAACAGCCCTTTTCTATTTCCCATACAAACGTTTTTTTTGACATTAGATTTGACAACTAACTATGTCAATCATTCTGTCGCACTTCAAAACACAGAGATTTATAGCTTACAGGTAAACTCCTAAAATATAAATAAAAAAACGTAACAGATATTTCTTCATTATAGGGCGATACGAAGTTCTAGTTATGAATAAAATATATCACTGAAATTATATTCACACATTTATTTCGTTGGTATCTAAAACTATAGATGTCGTAGTAAAAATAATTTCCTTCTCATAAAATCAAATTTGATTGATAACAAATTATAACATAAAATTGTGAATCTTGCTGTAAAAATATTTTGTCTCACCGATACGTAATTACAATAGGTAAGTAAGGATTAGAATTTAATGACAATAATGAACATCCTATAAATTTATTTAGAAAAATATGAAATAATACTAATATTATATTAAGAATATTTACATACTATTATATAATTTTTATATCATTCAGTAAATAGGAAATTATAAAATTATTACTAGGATCATGTTCTTTAATTAATTCGTCTAACAATCATGGGATATGATTAATTCTTTTTCAATAAAATCAAGTATTTTCATTTCATATTCGTATTTTCTTTCTAATCTTCAAAGATATTCAATAAATTGTGTCAACGAATGCTCATACAACGCCCTTACGATATTGTCGAATTAATCAACAAATTAAAGTTATTCTCACCTTCTACCAAGAATTCTATCACCAAGCCCCAAGGTGACTTGATGTATTTTCCCAAAGGATCAATTTATACTAGTTTTTCGTTGAGCTAAGTCCCTCATAAGCGTCGCTATTAATAAGCGATGAGCAGATCTAAGCACTAGTCTCACGCATGCACACACCCATACAAGTGCATGTAGGTGTGTGCATGCGTGCATGTGTGCATGTGCCCTTTGCGTGCTCACGCCTTACCGGCTCGAGCTTCCTTCACAAAGGCGGCCCGCCCGCAATTCCCATCGCATAAACCCGAATACACGACCTCATTAAAAAATGAAACCCTACAAACATTCCTCAGCCTACAAAACACAACTTGTCAAAGTGAAAAGCGCTGCCTAGTGGTGAGTAGCGGAACTACGCCACTCGCGGAATCAACCTCTGTACTTTTTTAATTAGCCTCATACACTGGCTGAATGCGTGAAATACGTTAGATTTTTTTCTGTCGTGCGCGGTTAGTTTGGTTGCTTTGAGTAAAGTATGTTAATTCACAAGTAGCGGCCCTCATGTTTTTGAACTGTTTCGTGGGGGATTTTCCTGCGTAACTCACTGCCATAGAGGAGTTAATTAGCAGCGAATTACTAATAATATACCACTACAATATTACAAGTTAAACACAACCGCTCATTCTGTGTCGCGTTTCGGACATATTATTTCTCTTATATTATACATAGTATGAGAAGTTTATTTCTCGAGACGCTAACCGAGACGTCGCTAAGTCTTTTATCTCAGACTAGGTTCATTGAAAAAGTGCAAACTCTGTACAAAGTTCACTTTCGCCTTGTGAACTAATTTTTCGCTCGGTGTCAAGTTCATGGTTCCAGGGAGGGAGGGACGCGCGGGGGGAGGGAACGGCAGTCAGGACGCGGGGGGGGGGGGAGTGATAAAATAAAATATTCATTATGATTGCTCCAACGCCAATGTTCGCGAGTACGCGATTATAACTCTGTATAGTATTGGTCGTTGTATGTTATCAAACATATTTAGTATTATACAAATTATTATAAAATCGTCTGCTTACATTGCAATTAAATAAAATTGTTGTTACCAAGATAATCATAATAAAATATAAAAATATTTTTTATTTGACTAATGTCCAAATTAAATAAATACATGACTTCAATCCTTTGGCTGAATAACAAGTAATTTTAATTTTAATTTTAATTTTACAGTTTTTTAATTTCCAAGTGACCAATAAGTGATAATCCAATAAGATTGTCCCGAAAAGTGATGTAAAAATGTAATCCCGACCTACCTCACTGTACACTGAACAGAAGTTGGAATTCTTTTAGCATCTTAATTAACCTATTAATAGCGGTCTTAAAAGTTGGAAACATTGTAACAATTATATAACCTTTTGTATCTAAGAAAACTTATCTTTTTTATCTTTCATTTAGAAGTTTTATTAGTATAAAAAAATTGTTTTTCTTATGCTTTTCACTATTTACAACAAACATAATGGTTGTTCAGGAATTGTGGAAAAACTATTTCAGTACTTCAATAATATCGTAATTTATTAATAAAGATTAAAGTACATACATATGCAGTTCATAAAATTTATAATCACCTTTCCTTATAAGAAATAAGAATTATTCTTCATAGAAGATAATATGCGCATATGATATAATACGTAATAAATAGTTTTAGGTACAATTACTTATAAATTCGAGATCTTTTTTTTGATTTGATATAAGTTTCAATGTGATTTTTCCGAGTCAAATGTATTTTCTAAGAGTATTTAGATATCACTGATTAATGCATTCCCAAAAAGGGGATCATGTCAGGCAGGCGGCCGGTCGTAAAAACAATTAGATAAAACTATTCACAACATGTAAGCCAGATCCTGGCTAAAGCTGGGAAATTGCCAGGTAGGAGAAGAATGTAGGTATTACTAATTTATCATTTATAAAGTTATTAATTTTTCTACTAAGTATGTAATATGAGTTTCGTTGTGTTAATGTAAAAACCTTTAATAAGAGAGTCTACATTAAAAAAATTATTACAAGCTCGTATTTGTGTTAATTTCAACTTATTCTAAACATTCACTGTAATTTATTGATTTATTTTCATATAATATATAAAACAAGTTAGATTTAGAACCAATACAAGTTAAAATATCTATTTTCCAATTTATATTTTTTTCT